CTAAGTAAACACAAACTCAAAAGTTTAAGAAACTAAATTCATAATTTACTAAAAAGAAAAAAAAAGGAAGAAGAAAAGGGAAAATTTCCATGTGGTGAATGAGCATAAACTTAACAGAGGATGAAAGGAGAGATTCTTAGGGGCGTAATTTGGTTGCTTTTTTGATGGGTAAAGAGTTTGGCGTTGCCTTTTATGTGTTGAATTTCGGTCGAAAACATTCCACAGTCTGTGAAAAGGCAAAAGGAAAAAGAAAAAGGAACCAAAAAAAAGAAAAAAAAAAAGAAATTCCGAATTCCAAAATGCAAAACCGCCATCTCACATTCACAGATCAATCACCTACTCTCCTCTCTCTCTCTCTTCTGTCTCTCTCCCCCAAGTGATTTCGTTTCACTTTAAAGACCAAAAACCCCAGTCCAACCCTGTAATCAATTCCTCTGGATCACACCCAATTGCAGATTTTGTATTTTTCAATGTGATTTTGGGGGGATTCAATGCCCCATGAGACGAGCGCCCCGCCACTTTCAAATCTTACTTTCCTTTTCCATTCGTAACTGAATTCGGGCATCGTTCTCTCATGGCGAATCGCGTCTACCAAGTCTGGAAAGGAAGTAATGTGAGTCATTTTTTTCTCTCTCGCTTCAATCCTCTTTTTTAGCTTTTAATTCTTCGTCTTATGTGTTGGGTTTTTGGTTAATTTTTGAGGGTTTGTCGTCGATTTTTGTTGTTCCTCCTTTGGAGTTCAAAACTAGGTCTTTTTGGTGTGCCCTTATTATTGCAGCTTAATTTTCTCGCAAAGAACACTCTGTTTTTGTGGTATACGCAGGATGAAAATTTTTCAAATGAAGCTTACTATCTTCCCGTATTTGTTCTGCGATTGAACTAAGGATAGTGGTTGTTGCTGGGTTACTGGAACATTATTGGACACGTTTATTTCATAAAGTTCTTAGCTCTAAGCTTTCTTTGTTCTGGTTGTTTCTTGTGTCATTTGTGCATAATCTGCGTTCTGTGGTCGCTTGATGTTGCAGAATTTTATCTCTTCCGATTGAACTGAGGAATAGAAGTGAAAACTAGTTATTCCGTCTTTTTGTAGGTCAATTAAGTGGTTAGAAAGAAGAGGAATCTTAGATCACAGGTCTCTTTAACTATATGCTTGAATCTTTTCTGTCTTATGGACAGAGGTTATTTGTATTTGGTTTCTAAGAAAATTTAGTGAGTTATGTATAATACATGAGTACATGCAGCTGATTATCGAGGTATGTGTTCTTCATATATCTAAGCTCTAGAGATATTTTTTCATGTTTTAACTGCTGATACATGTAGCACTGGTTTTGCTTTAGTTTAGTAGTAGTGTAAAATAGAAACGTGGAATGCATTTTTGTTAGTAGAATAATTGTCAAGCGTGTATGAGGTTTTGAGCCACTTCACAGTCTAGTCGGACACTTCGCCCGAACTATTCAAGATGGCATCTTACTTTATTTGACTTGATTGCAAAGGTCTCTCCTCTTGGGCTGGAGATTTTTTCTATGGCCTATTTGTGATATGCACATCACATCATGGCATTTGTAAGACATATTTTTGTTAGAAATGGTAGGCAGTTTCTTAGAAGTCCTGACTTTAAATTAGAAGTTTTTGTGTAAACTACATTCAAAGTTTATTTCTTACTTCGTCTCAAATTTCAAGTGAAAGGAATGTTTGGATAAGAATGAAGTACTCATTAAAAACAGGGCTGCTTTCATCACCCCTTTACTGAAACTCTACGTTTTCTTATTCTTTTGTGGAGCTTATAATTACTTGCAGGAGTCTCATTTGTCCTGATGCCTTTTTTAACATCCTAAATGTTAAAATACTCAAATGCACACCTCTCCATTTAAAATTTTGTGTTCTACATTATTGATTAACTTTCTTCCCTTGTTTCTTTTGTGATTCTGCAGAAGTTTATCCTTGGTGGGAGGCTAATTTTTGGGCCTGATGCTAGGTCACTGCTTATCACACTACTGCTGATTACAGTTCCAGTTATCATCTTTTGTGCATTTGTTGCGAGACATCTTCGACATAAGTTTTCATCATATAATGCTGGATATGCAATTCTCGTCGCAGCAGTTTTATTTACCATATATGTTAGACCTCTTGACCTTCTTTTGACAATTAAGTAATGTGCAATTTTAATGTTCAAGTTTGTCAATGAAAAATGGATGCGGATGATTGTTCTATCTTTCATGAAACATTTGATCCCTTCTATGTTTTTACTTCGTTGGATGAACTGTAAGCACACTGTATTTTATCGATTCGTCTGTTATAGATGTTAAGAGAAAACAGAATAGTCTGGTTGTTAGTAACTTGTTGATGAGAGAAATGCAGTCTTATTTATTTTTTAACGAACCATCTTGTCTATGGTTTAGTATCTAATTAATGAATTGAAGGGAAGCTTAGAACTGAAAAGGAGTAGATATCATGAGAGAGAGATACTTGAGCTTAGTTTCTATTATATTTTAGGTAAACCATGACGTATGATTTCTTCGCATAATATGATTGGGGCTACATAAAATGATGTTTTCAGCTCTACTTTTGTAATCTCGGATGATATATATCTGATTGATGTTGCTACTATGAATTTTATGCCAAATCTGAACCTTCATATAATCTCCTTTCGAAGACAACAGAAACTGTTATTGTTCTTGGTCCTATTGTCCTGCTGCAGCTAGACTTTTCAAGGCCTCTCACTCTTTTTATTACCACCTATTCTTCCCACTAACTTTAGACTTTTTTCATAGCGACTTTTGTTGTTGACTTCTTGGTTTTGATGATATATAATTAATTTAGTTGATGATGATGGTAGGTACTGGTACTTCTTTTCCTTACTTCAGCCCGGGACCCAGGAATAATTCCTCGCAGTTCACATCCACCAGAGGATGAAATCCGTTTTGAATCTTCGGTATCAGTTGACATTGGGGGAAGGCAAACTCCAAGTCTCCAGTTTCCTCGGACGAAAGAAGTTATTGTAAATGGGCTCCCAGTAAGAGTAAAGTATTGTGACACGTGTATGTTATATCGTCCTCCTCGTTGCTCCCATTGCTCTATTTGCAACAATTGTGTGGAACACTTTGATCATCATTGCCCATGGGTGGGCCAATGTATTGGACTGGTAAGTTGTTGATGTACAAATCGATGTCAATTTGCCCTTCTATACTTAATGTCTTACACGGTTTCTTGGATTTTGGTAGAACTTGAAGTCTTTTGGCTCTCTTTTGGTTCCTTTCAATCAACTAAAAAATGTGAAATATTAATGAATAAATGAGAAGATAAAAGAGAACTATCTGGGGCTTTTTCTATTTTGATATCTGATATTGTCTCTCTATCTTTGCGTTCATGCAGCGGAACTACCGTTACTTCTTTATGTTTGTTTCTTCGTCAACTCTTCTTTGCATGTATGTGTTTGCGATGTCAGCATTTTATATCAAGATTCTGATGGATCAATACGAGAGCACTGTTTGGAAGGCAATGAAAGAATCACCTGCATCAGTTATATTAATGGCCTACTGCTTCGTCGCTCTTTGGTTTGTTGGTGGGCTAACTGGCTTCCATTTGTATCTTATTGGGACAAATCAGGTTGGTTCTTCTACCACTTTTCTTTTTCCACCCTACAGTTTTTTTAATTTTTAAGACATAATTACTAGGCTTATACAGCTGATACCAAGCAGCAATGACAAAATGGAAATTCTTTCGAGAAGCCTCTGAAAGCTTTATTTCCCCTAAAGGTGAATAAATCAAAATATCGTTTCTTTTCATGGATGGGATAGATGAGATTGGGATATTGGGTTAACTAGTAAATTATATTTTATAAAAAAACCGGGCTTTCATTGAGACAAAATGAAAGAATACTGAAGGAGCGGATAAAACAATGGCTCAGAAATAGGATCCACCTACAAAATAAGTTAGCTATACAAGAATGCTCCAATCATAGTTAGAAAATTCCTTAATAACAAACTCTTGAAAGGAGGCATTAAATCTGACACAAAACCACATGCTCTCGACGCCATTAAATTCTCCGACTTCTCCCTGGCCAAAACCCCCCACAAACGGCGAAGAATGTAGAGTGCCAAAGGTTACAAACCTTTCTCAGTGAAAGCTGATACTCTCAACACACCATAGAGTTCGATCTACTGGGAATAAAAGAGAGGCAGCCATTGGAGAGGTCTGATACTCTCCAATACCTTCTTTTAGTCAAAAACTAACTAGCCAACCTGTAACTCTTTCCTTATAGAGCTATTTAGTAGAATTACCGCATAAGGGCGGCGCCACACACACAAAAGCATCCTTATCTCACTTCCTTTGTGCATACATACCCGCCATTCCCCCTTGCTTCATGAAAGTCACTATTTACATAGGCCCTATGGATTAGCCTTGTGATTATTTTGTTTCTCATGGGTATAACGAACTGGAGGCCTATCATAAAACTTCAGATAGATTAAAAGAGAGAGAATATCTTTTTTTTCTCTTTCATTTCTTCTTCTCTTCTCTTCTTTCATTTTTTGGTTTGTTTCGTTTCTCTTTTTTTTCTGGCCTTGTTTCATTATTTTTTTCCCTTGGAAAAGAAATCACTTAGTAAAACGAAGTTACTGGTTTGTTACATCATGAAATATGATATGAAAATATTTGATCTTTGGTTAAAGTTTAGTTGATTGGTCTGCACTGCTAGCACATATTGTGGTTAAACTTCTATATTGGTGATGGAGGATTGAACTTCACCATAGTTGCTTGCTGTGCTATCAAATAAAATTGCATTTCATCTCTTGATAATAAGTCTGTTGTGAGGTAAATTTGATTGAACAATTACAAATTATTTGACATCTTAACTGATTCTAGTACAAAATGGTTTAAAGAAAAGGAAAATTCAGGTTTTTTAAGTTCATTAATCAGGTGATTTTTATGTTACTCCTACTTATTGGCTGGGTTGATTTTACTGTTTGTTTTACAGACAACCTACGAGAATTTCCGGTACAGAGCTGACAATAGAATCAATGTCTTCAACCGGGGTTGTGGGAATAATTTTCTTGAAGTATTTTGCACAGAAGTAAAACCATCAAGAAACAATTTTCGGGCAGTTGTTCAAGAGGAGGTGCCAAGGCCTCAAGTTCTTCCTCAGCTGCCCCGTGCTGCAGCAGATGATTTGGGTGCACATCCACCGCGTTCGAAGGTTGAAGATGATCTTGATATTGGTGAAGACTTGTTGAAAATCTCCCAGCGGCGTAACATTGATGAAATTTCAGAGGACATACGTGGCAGAGGGAGCAATGGAGTGTCCCTTAACGCTCCAGAGACTGACCCTGCTTTGGAATCTGATCATCAACCACCAACAATTCGATCAGATAATCGGCATTCAAGTTGGGGAAGAAGAAGCAGCAGCTGGGAAATTGCAACAGAGGCCTTTGCCAACTCGAACGTCACTGAAAGCCGAAGTTACGCAGCATCAAAGGAAGCATTACAGTGATTACGTACTGACATCGAATCTTTGAGTTGAGGTGATGGATGTTTCGTTTAGCAGAAAGGAAGGCTCCTTTTTCTTGGGATGCAAAGATGGCAAAGCTGCAGGAACTAATACAAAATGTGATGGGAAGGCAAATTCATCCCATTAGGTACAAAATTATATAAATCTCTCTCCCTTTTTTTTTTTTTGTTTGTTTGTTTGTTTATGCTGGAAAATCCATCTAATTTCTGAGAAGGGTAGAATTGGTATCGGTTGTAATTGTTTGGAAGGAGTATTAGTGATTTGGTTTGTCAAACTTTTTTATTTTTTTTTATTTTTATTTTTTATTGGTAGTTTATATCTTACAACATTCCATTCTGGCACTCTCAATTCAAATTCTTCATTCCTCTGTTTCCTCCCAGGGACTCATTGAGCTTTCTGATTGCTCAAAATTCAGGCTGCAATTATTTATTTGAGTTTCAATATATTGTACTCTTAAGAGTCATCACTGCAGGCAGGTCGCTCTATTGTTATCGTGTTGTTTAGATAATTACATATGTTATCTTTTTAAAAAATTGTGAAGGTGGAGATTCAAAGTTTGCGTAATAACTCTACCAAAGGCGACTCTATTATTGGAATAGCTTCTAGTTCACCTGATAACCAATTTGGTCTCAAGGTAAGGAATAATCCGTTGTACCAAAGGATGCGGTCAATACGGTTAGAACCGCATTTGTAACCCAAGTCAGCTCACAAGGTTTTTTAAAACCACCAGTAACATATACGTGAATACATGCAGGATAATCGGTAAGACCATCATACTCGTTGACCATCTATAAACTCAACTTCCCTCATTATATATTAAAGAGACAATTATATATTAAAGAGAAGGATGTTGGTTTAACAAATAAGAGAAATTACTATTGTTTTCTTTTAATTAATTAAATTATGTTCCGGTTATCTCAACGTTTTAGTATAAAGAAAACTCAAATGTATGTGTTAGGAATCCAAATATTATTAAACAAAACTAAGTAACTATATTGCATATCAAAGAGATAATTACAATATAATAGCTTTTCTAACAATCTCTTCTATTTATATCCATATAAACTAAGTTCCTCACCATAATCTATTCCCAAAGAGGTATCCTCTCCTACTACCTCTATGTATATCCATCTTATCCGTAACTAATTATCGTACTGCCTTCTCACTATCATACTAACAATATTCCCCTCGTAATGAAATTCTCGAATTCCTTTAAATTACTTGTGTGCATTGTTTTACAATTTTGGCATTTGTTTATTTTACCACTTCATTCTTGTTATATTCAAACCCCTGTAATGTGTAAAATTTAAAGTTTTATTATTTCATTTAAATTGATTGTTAATTATAAAAAAAAAGGTGATATCTGTGACTTATTTTATGTTTTCTATCAAATTTGATACATTAATTAATTAAAACTTATGACTTATACTAGTATGTTAAAGTGGTTTAGTGGGGAGAAATCTTTGGTGTTTTCTTTTGCCCTTCTTAATTGGTATATTCTTATACACTGTAATTTAACTATTATTGGTTAATTTAAAATTACAATTAAATTTATTTAGACTATCACCATGTATGAATTATAATTCTTGGATATCTATTCAGAAATAAAACTAAAATTAATATGTTACAATTTCAACATAAGCTAAAAGTCTAATAATTTCTATTAATTCTTGAAAATATAAAATTATAGTGAGAAATTTCAATCCACAATATAAATTTAATAAGTATTTTTTAAAATTTCATAACTTTTTATTTTTCAAACATATCATAAATTATTATTATTTTTGTAATATGTTTTACCTTATATTTGAATTTGAATTTGATTTTATTTGTGTTATTTTTGTAAAATTTTAAACTTTCTCCAAAATGTATCTTCGGTTCCTATAAAGTGACGATGCTTTCCACGAATTACCTAAATTCTTCGCTATAAAAAAAATTTAAAAGACAATTAATCAATTATGATCATCCTAGTAAGGAGTCTCCTAGCATTCTCTACCATGAAAACTTCACATTTGAGCGAGGTATTTTTCGTATTTTTGTCTATCTTTTTCACTACTAGTGGTGACATCTAAACAAGTTTCTCCATATTGTCATTGCACTCACTTCAATTCTTTATTGAATTTGACATGATATCACCTATGACAATTAGGAAAAAACTTTAGTATATTATAATTACCTTTGAAATTTATACTTCAATATGGTTGATAGTAAAAGAAATATCAACAAATTTTAAATTATTAATCTTTTCTATTGTTTTCCATACTTAAAAGAAAAAAAAAATCATTTCATAGGTCTTAAAAATCCACTTTTTGTTTTTAGTCTTCGAATCTTTATTTAGTATTTTTTTCCATAGTTTTTTATAAACCCACTTTTTGTCTTAAAAAAAAAAGCTTATAGCATTTAGGGGAGGAATCCGATTACATTATTTTACAGAATGGTTTATTAAACTTGAGGTGGGTCCCACTATTTGATTCCATTGTTACAATTGGGTAAACACCATAGAAATTTGGCCTATTAGGATTATCACATTCACAACAATCTTCTATAATAAAATAGATCAACAAAACCTGCAAAATAAAATGATTACACACTGGTGTGGTGCTACTCACACACGCTCTGATACTTAAGTTAGAATTTGAGTTTTATGTAAAAAGTAGAGTTTTGTTGCATACTTTGATCGTCAGATTTCTCTTGTAAAATAGTTTTAGCTTTAGAGATATCCCTATCGCAAGCCGAACCATACAAGAGAATGAGAGTCAACTCATCAATTGGCTTATTGGCGGAGCACAAAAACCTGGTGATCGGACCTGGTTGGTCGGGACTTGGATTGGAATTGTTGTTCATGGGCCAATCATTTTTAGGAACAACCTTCAAATATGATATCCTTTATTATAATTAGCTTTTAATCAACTTTCCTCTGCGCAAATTGTTCCTAATGGTTGGTGTACCTTAATTAGTTGTTATATCCTGTGGTCCTTCTTTGGTAACGGTCTCCCTTTAACCGTCACCAACTTTATGTTGCTTTACTACCTGAAGCACATTCCCAAGGGTGATCTTCATTTCTATGTCAGCTCTTGAAGGCAAGATTTGATTGTTGGTCCCTCCTCTTACAAAAAATTGGAAAGACCAGTGGTTTGTCGTTGGTGGCAAGTAGCTTGCCCACGATGATAATGGGCTGTACCTTTCGATCTCGACTTAGTGTAGGGCTTTAAGTTAGTATCTTCCCTTGCTTTATCGAGACTGTATTCTTTTTCTTTATTTACTAACTTTCCTTTTTTTTTTTTACAATCCCCCACCATCTGGATCTCGAAGCCACCACTGCATCAATATCACACTCGTTCTTTGATGCACCCAGTTGCTCCACAACCCCTCTTCATGGGGTCCACCCATTAGTCTTCTCATGGCAATACAAATTTTGCTTCACGACTCTCAGCTTTCTTCTTCCAGGGACTGTACTATTTTGATATTGGTGAGGTGACCTACCTCGAAAGGACCTTCAACTTGTGATAGGAAGTTAGTGAAACACCCCTTGGGTAAGATTCTAGATATTCTGATCCACAGAGGAGTATCAATTTCATGTCTTACCGACCTTCATTGAGTTTGCGTCACTCTGTCTCCATCACATGCTTTGCATTTTATCCTCCTCTTTTGTATTCTGACTCGTATTCTTTTGTGTTTTCTAGTTGTTCACCGCTTGGTGGTATCTTTTGGTCAGGCTACCAACGAAATTAAACATCTTCATCAAAACTATTCCCTTGGTACGAGCTAAGTCGAGCCCTTGCTTCTTTGGATCGAGCCAACCGCTTGTTGGAAAACGCACAACATGAGCTTAAGTTCGAGAAGAGAAGGTCTCAGGGGGAAATTGCGAACCTACAAATGAAGCTTGATGAGGCAAAAGCCCAACTCTCTAATTCTGAATTTCTAGCAAAGGAGTTCAAGAAAATTGTGGAGTATGTTAATCTACAGAATGCCACGATGGGGTGCGGTGTTTCGTGGTGGCTTATGTTAATCTATAGAATGCCGCTATGGAGTGCGGTGTTTCGTGATCGCTTCATCAACTCTCCAATGAGCATCCTAGGATGGATTATTCCCTCCTTCACGAGCGTTTCAGAGCTGAATGCAATGCTATTGAATATATGGATGATGATGATGATGAGTAGAAACAGCCAGTACTAGTTTGTTGTTTTTGCTTTATGTAGTTTTTGATTTTCAGCTTTATTCGCTAGATCTTTTGATGTTTGATGATCTAGGCTCGACTTATCTTATGTGTACTGCTATTTATTAGAAGGAAAACAACTTTTAAGTTTGCCATTTTCCTATCGCGACCAGCTTTGAATCAAGTCTCTTAGCACTACTACACGATTTGATTCATGTGTTAGTCTTTTATTATCCTTGGGTTCTAACTTAGCTGGGCTCGTTTGCTTGCCTACAACACCTTTAGGTTTCTGTACCATATTGGCTTTTTGATGTTTGTTTTTACCCATGGTTTCTTTGATTGGCTTAGCTCATCGCCGGCTTTAAGTTTTAACCTTGTTGTGTTCGTTCGCTTGCCTTTTTCAGCACCTTTGGGTTGTTTTTTTTTTAAATATCATTTTAGGCTCAATTTTCCATTGATCTTCTCCAGTTTCACTGACTGGCTTTTAGCTTTTTAGCTTGCTTTTATTTTGTCCCTTTTCGAGTTCCTTGATTAGCTTTTATTGCTAATTAACCTACCTAGCCTCTGACTTGAGGAGTGTTTTTATTTATTTTAAACAAAAGGATATATCAGAAAAACTATTCAAGTATGTAAACAAACTATCAATTCAAGAAAATCAAAATCAAACCTAACCAGGAATCAAATAATATGTTGCAAATCAAACATATTTAAGACTAAGAAAGAAAATAAAATAAACTTAAAGCTCAAATCAAACATAGCAGATGTCGACTTTTAAAGTGGTGTAGTAGCATTCTTGTGATACTCGTTGCTCTTCAGATGTAGGCAGGATTAATACCAAATCTTTGGCGGGCTTTCTTCTCTATTCAGGCGTTTTACCTCTCCCTAAGGCGGTGACCCCATGCAATCGAGGCTCGGGTAGGCATTTCTCCATTGTCAATCAATTTGTCATCTATTGGAGACGTTGAACTGACTACACGATCTAACCACATGACATGACATGACATGTTCTCAACTCACAAGTGGTCAAGTTGCATCTAGTAGAGATATCAAACATATGACATGACATATTCTCCTCCCACTAGAGGTTAAGTTGTCATCCACTGGAGATATCGAGCTAATGGCGTGACATGTTCTCATCCCACTGGTAATTAAGTTGTCATCTACTGGGGATATTGAGCCAATGACATGACATGTTCTCTTTAATAGGATCGAATCTCCAACATTATCGCTTCTGATCGATTTCTCGAAATAACACAAACAAAAATATAGGGAAGAAAGACTCTTACCTTTGAAGATTTTCATCTCTGTTCTGGTAAAGACACCACCACAAGATTACTTTGCCAAACTATGGGTGTTAGGAACTCAGTTTGTGGTAACCGTGTTTGAAAAAATGGGAACTCTTGCACAGAATTGTGAAAGAGGGAATTCTTGGAAGCAGTAACTCAACACATAACTCAGTTGTGTTTTTTTTAATCAAGTACGGAAGAGAGAAGTGGGAGTAACCTCCCACTCTCCACCTCACCACTTCCCACCAAAAGTGGTTAATTATTAATTATATATTCGATTTAATTTAATTTATTAAATAAATTAAATAATTAAATTAAAACGATTTTAATTTAATTAATAATTAATTAAATCTTCATTAATTAATTAAACATAATTTAATTAAATCACATTTAATCACATTAATTAATATTTGAATCATATTCAAGTATACATTTCTCTCATAACCTATAGTATTTAATATGAATCTAATTCACATTAAATTTTAACCTATAGTTTTAATATGAATCCAATTCACATAATTCTCTCACAATATATAGTTTTTATAATATTAATTGTATCATACACATTTAACTCAAATTCCCTTTAATAAATTTGAACAAATCAAATTCTTTTCAAAACAAAATATTCTTATCTGTCTTTTACGAGCTAGCAGGGGGACCTAATGGACCTACAAATCAGAAGCTCCAACGATATGAGATTAATTGATTAAACTCAATAATCATATTTATCAATATTCGTTAACTGTTGGTCACTCCATTAAAGACCCACAGCTGCACTCTTCTCACTGTAGAATATTTCTGTGTCCACGAACGATCCGTTATAGGCAAGAGTCCATAACTCGCTCAGGATTAAGATTGAGTTACCTAGTCATCCTATGAAATATTAATCTAGTTAGTTTATAGTGTTATGACTAAAAATTAATTATTTTGCGGTCCGGTCTTATACAAACTCATTTTATAGGATACTTCACTCGCATGTCTCATCCTCAGATACTTTAACATTCATATGGAGGAAGACACCTCGGTCAACTCTCACATCAATGAGGTGACTAAATTAATGAATCAGTTGGATTCGATATCACATTTTCAGAGGAGGTGAATGCTATAAAGCTGTAATCTTCTTTGCTAGAGAGCTACGAAACGATGAAGATGGCGGTGTAGAATTTGTTAGGGGACAAGAGTCTAACATTTTTAGATATCTGTGACACTGCAATTGTTGAGGAGATTCGCGGGAAAGGATGTGGAAAGAATTCTACATCCACTTCTGATAGGGAGAACTCTATAGAGTAAGCATTGGCAGTTCAGAACAAAGGCAAAAGAAAGATGAATTATGGGAAACAGTAGAGACATGGCCAAAGGATTGGGAGCGGTGAGATTGAACGTTTTTACTGCCATCAGAAGGGTTACTTTAAGAAACACTGCAATAAGCTTAAAGAGGATCAAGTCAAGAAAATACAGACGAAGGTTTTGTTGGATGACATGTTGTTAGCATGTGTTATGAGTGACACAGCTGTTGGACGAGAAATTGAAACAAGAAAAACTCGAATTAATTAACTTGTATTTGTAATTATGTATGTGGTGTACAATCTCTAATGCATAACCCTCTAATTAATTCTCTTAAATGTAAACTTTAATTCAAGGTCTTGTGAGTTCTCTCAAATCAATGATGTTGAAGCCTTCAGCTTCTTGCTTATCGAAGCATATTTGAAGTCTTTGGCTTTGAGTTTGTTGAAGACTTCGACTTGTTGATGAAGTTCTTTGGCTTGTAGCTTGATGAAAACTTTGTGAAGTCTTTGGCTTTAAGCTTGTTTAAGAGTCTTTGAAGTCTTCGGCTTTGAGCTTGTAAAGTTATTCAACTTTTCAAGTTGTTGAAGTTCTTCGACTTGTAGCTGTGAAGTTCTTCAGCTTGTTGACACGACCCGCCCTAAACACCTACTAACTATAGGACAAGTCGTACCAACCACAGACCCCCAACCATCTACCAAGTCTATAGTCAACTTCTTTCTAAATTTCTGAAACTAACTTAGATTATTCTTCAACATATAAAACATAAAGTGTAACATAATTCGTTTCGAAAATAACTATTCAGCCACGACTTCTAAACATGTTGTACAACCCCAAAAGGTACAACTATTCCAGTATAAGTCATTCTAGATGTACATACAAAATGATATGCAAATTCTGAGACGGGGAGTAGTAGAAACTGGTCGGCTATCTTTATGAAACTCAGGTGCAGCCTGGTGGAGAAAAACAATGATAAACAGTGAGCTAGGAAGCTCAGTGAGTGGCATTTTAATAAGAAAATAGTTTTATAAAACTTCTTCCATATAAACAACTGAAATTTAAACTCTTATAACATACTTCTTTAAGTTGAAATGATAAGCTTTTCTAGCAAAACTTCATATACTTTCTAAAAAAAACACATTCTAAATACATATCAAATATCTTCTTTCAAACCTAAAACAAATTAAGGAAACTCAACACCATATATGTATCCACATTCTATTCTGATCTACTAGCGTAGAGTAATCTCAATAAGCACAGCAGAATAATTCTATTTCTGGTCCACTGGCATAGAGTAATCTCAATATACACAGCAGAATATTTCTCTCAACGCGCGGAGTAAAATGGTCCCAAAGACCTTCTATTTCTGGGTATACTATAGAAACACATTCACATAGCATACGGGTTGATACAACAATATGGTGGTTTGAAAACCATTCTCAGAAAATTCTCAATCTCATAAACAGTTCTAAAATTCTTCTTTTCTTCTTTCTAAACATATTTCTTTCTAATCATACTCAGTGAGCACTACAGTTTCTCAGAAAATCATAAAACATTTCTATGTTCTAAAAAACATTCATAAACTCTTAGCAAACTCAATTTCTCAGCAGAAATAATCATACATACATAATATATATTTTCTTGAAATTCTATAATAGATGTCTTAAAATATTTGGTAAAATAACCACTCACAAATCCTATGAACGAGGTGAATTGGGTTGGTACGCTGCTCCAATTTCCGATTGTCCTGAAATAATAACCAATGAAATTTCAATTCACACCCAATTTCCAATTAAACTCTACAATTCTTCAAATTAAACCATAAATTTAATCAATAACCCCACTCTCTCTCTACCATCCAGTTACACCTCTTCCTCTCTCATTTTCCTTACAAATGGGACCCACAATACACAAATTCCAACTTGGTTATTAACCATTGGTTATACTCCAATTTATTTCCAAACAAAACCCATTTCACGTTTCCTTCTTCAATTTCCAATCATTTTCCCTTTTTTTTGTTTAATTCCCAACACATAGTCTTTCTCTCTCATCTACACTATTCATCTTCTTCTTCCAAAACCACAACCAACGAAACCCTCCATTTCTTCCTCTCCATTTCTTCTCTTCTTCTTCTTTTACTTCACAGATTCCTCCGACCTACAACAATGAAATCACGCACAGAGGTCGAAACCATCACAATAGTTCAAGAAATCTCTTAGGCAAAGCAACAACCCATAGACCATTTCATTCGAATCTCAAACAAACTTGTGATTCACAAACCCACAAAGCAAGGGAGTCCATATCCTAGAAATTCAGGGTTTAAAATTCCAAAACTTACCAAAATCAAGTTCCCAACCTCAAACAATCAACTTCAATTTCATCCTCCTTCCTCTGTTTCGTTTTCGTTTCTTTCGTTTCCTTTTTTTTTTCCTTCTGTTCTTTTTCTTTCGTTTTCTTCTCTGTTTCCTTTTTTTCTTTTGTTTTTCTTCTCCACTGGCTTCCTTCACAACACACACACACTCACTTTTCCACTTTGCTTTTCTTTTCTTTTCTTTTCTTTTTCTTTTAAAAAAACTCA